TGTCGGGGCAGCTGGGGACCATAGGCTTTGTCTTGTAGTGCTGACAAAAGAAAACAACTGAGTGGCTTCCTCCTTTGTTTTATCCCTTTTTTGTCTTTATATCCCTTCTATTGGATTATACTGAAACCCAATAGTCAAGATGTGACAGTTATTGTGAACTAATAAAAAATAATGTTACAGTATCCTAACTGAATGGTCCAACTGAAACAAAAGACAGGACTATGCAACACTTTAAAGACTAACAAGATGGTTTATTAGGTGATGAGCTTTCGTGGGCCAGACCCACTTCCTCAGATCAATGGTCCAAAGCACTACAACTTACAACAGTATAAGTCACAGGACTATTATTGCAGAATATAATAAAATATCTCACCCACCGTCATGTATTTCCCAAACCATCAATGACATCAGGCAATTTTTCAGCAATTCTGCCTCTACTTCCTGTCTTTTATGCCCTAACCACTGGAGCACACTTTGCTATTTCCAAAAGTGGTACCACTATCTCTTGAGGAAAACCCCCACTCCCTCTTACACAGGGCCAAACATGGCATTAAATTCACCAACTAGCCAGAGTAGTTTTTACTTTAAGTTTCTGAATGCATATGAAGTGTGGGTTCAAAACTCTACAAATTACTAAAATCAGCGTAACACTTTTTTCTCAGTCACAACATAAAACGAAGGCAAGAAAAACATAACTGACATGCTGTTATATGAAAAACTGCCATTATATTTAATGCCTTTCTAACAAAGAATATTGCATTTATTATGATGAATAAATTCACAGATTTATCACCCATCAGACATTAGACTTTATTTTTCAGTATAAAATAAATATGGCTGGAGTATAAGATTATGACTCCACCATTATTTTGAAAACCATTTAATTTAAACTGAGAGTCTTGCTAGCCTGAAATAATAAAACTAGAAACAGAAAGGAGAACCATCCAATTACTGTAAAACAGTAGCCCATTGTACATGAAGACAACATAGGTGGACTTTCTTGTGAAACTGTGGGGTTTTATCATTGTATAATGATTTGTTGTACTATTTATAGGATAAACAATAAATCTAACATGATTCATCATATTACCCAATAAATCATGTGACAAATCATTAAGCAGAGTGATAAAATCAAGTGTTTTAGAAATAAGTTAATCTATGATGCCAATGTGTAAACTAAATAGTTGCTTAAGAACCCTATTTACTAATCATTTTTACATAAAGAAAGATTGATGGTTATGTAGATTAAATGTGTGCTTATTCCTATAAACTGCAGATAATCACTTATTCTGTGCAGGTCTGCTTAGAGAGAAAAAAAACATATGACAAAGACCCACTGTGAAAATATGTAGTGTCATTTTTGGTTTATGTGTAGATTTACCAAGATTTCCCTGCAGGGTTTTTATTTTTGGATCTGTATTTGTTTTCAGTGAAGAAAGAGTTAATTGCTATGAGGTTGTTGCACAGGGACTGTATTTTTGCTATAAATTCTGTAATATCCTAATTAACACATTCATTAAGACTTGATGACTGGTTCTAATGCTTCTTCATTCTTCAGTCTGAATATAACCCTATACTCTTTCTCATTTGTGACAACTGTGTTTATAGCTCCTCTACCCATAGAGCTGCATGGCACTTTGAATTATACTCAAGAGTATATGGGCATCACGTCACATTTGTGTGCCTGATATCATACATGACTAGCTGCGCTCCAGCCAGGGTCCTTAATGTACATTCTACAGATGGACTACCCTCTGAATGCTTAGCCAGATATTAAGTTAAATCTTTTTGGAGTCAAGCTTGTTTCGCATCAGTTATACAAACATATTGGTTCCTTTAAAAGGACAAATGCATTGAGAGAAAGAAAGAGAATCTAGGTCGGAAATCTAGAAAAATCATTTTAAATTTTAGTTTATCCTTTAAATTTAAGAATCTCTTCCCTGGGAAATATTGTGTTCTTGAGCTTCTTTGTTTTGTTTTACTCTACAGATAGAGTAACTGAGCAATATTTATGGAGAAATACATAGAAGCATGGGAATTTAACCATGAAAGAAATATAAACAGCAAGGAAAGCTCTCCTCTTCACTTTCCATTTTGGATTAAAATGCAGCAAGGCTGACAAGATAGTGACAAACCAACAAGATATTTTGCAGTGCTAGATTTTTCTCAAAAAGAGAAAAAAAAGCTAACATTTGTATGCTACTGTCTGTCTGTCTATTTATCATGTTGGGACTATGTCAGACGTTCTGGACCGATTTGATAAGACTAATCTTGAGAGCAAGGCATTTCCCTCGTACCGGAGGAATATGTTAGAGTAACAAAACCATCTGTAATTAGGGCTGCGACCAACTGTTTACTTGTCAAGTACAGTCTCATGAACAAGCCCCTCCAAGCTCGCAAAGCCAGCTGGGAGAAGCAGAGAGCAAGCCTGAGGCTGGACTGGTGACTGTGTCAGAGGAACTGAGAGAAGAAAGGAGCACAGGGGACAGTGTAGCTTAAGATAAAAGGAAAAAACCCTTTATTTTATAAAAAGAAATCTGAGAAATGGAATGAATGGATGAAAAAGGCAGGCAATCTGAGATATTATAGAATGAACATGTGTGTGTGCTGGGGGGAAGGATAATTGTTATGCCATTATTTTGTTTTTCACGTGCAGGACTCTCATAAGTATAAAATGTTAAGAAGTGGGAGAGTACCACAATCATGTTTGTGCTCATTTGTTACTGTATTTTTTTTATATTCTGCTCATCGTCCTGTTCTCATTTCAGTGAAATCATTTTATTGACAGCATCTCAGCTGAGGGTGTGTTCCATAAAACACAGAACTTGTCTTCTTTCATTCCCTTCTCTTTCGCAGCCCTCTCAATGACTTCCTCGGTATCATTAGCTCTCACTTAATGGCCTGAATAACCTAAGGGCTTGTCTATATGGTAGCCTTCATCCACACTAGAAAGGTGTAAATTTTAGTTCACAATAGTATGCTACACTCTAGTAGGCCTGTGTAGATCCTGCTAGCACACACTAAAAGACCCTAAGGGTGCATCTAGACTACATGGCTCCATCGACAGAGCCATGTAAAGTAATTTATTTGACATAGTCAATGAAGCGAGTATTTAAATAATCCCCACTTCATTAAAATGAAAATGGCCACCATGCTGTGCTGACAATCAGCTGATCCAGCACAGCGCGGTAGTCTAGATGCGGCGCGGTCGACAAGGGAAGCCTTTGTCAACTGCTCTGTAAACCTCTTTTCACGAGGCGTACTGAAGCAGTCGACAAAGGCTTCCCTTGTTGACCGTGCTGCGTCTAGAGTGCCACGCTGTGCCGGATCCACTGATTATTTTATTGAAGGGGGGATTATTTAAATCCCTGCTTCATTGACTATGTCGAGTAAACTACTTTACATGGCTCCGTCGACGGAGCCACGTAGTCTAGATGCACCCTAAGTGTGCATTGACATAGTACTGTTTGCAAGGACTGCATTCATGCACACTAGGAAACTTGTAGAGTTGTGCCAAGCAGATCCACACAGAGTAGTAAGTGCACAACATGTACTAAAATATAGATCCCTCTGGTGCAGACCAAAGAACCATGTAGATAAGCCAGAGTCGGGACAATAAAGTACATACAGGTCCTTGAAAATGAAATAATCCTACAAACCCCTTGACCTTTGCTGCTAACTCAAAAGTCTTACAAAGTTTGGTGTTTTCTCCTAAAGGCCCAACTTCGGAAAACACATAATTACCTGAGAATCTCAGGATTTTTTAATAGCCTCTCTGGTGACTACCTTTTAACAGTGATGCTGTTCTTTACTTTAGGGAACTTAAAGCCCTCCCCAATTTTGCTCACCAGATAACTGCACGTGAGGCTTTTTCCTTTCAATTTTTCCTTGTTCTTCTACTCCCTCCCTTCCCATATTCACTGCTCAGTGAGGCATAACAAGAATCAGAGAAGATAGACACTGAATGATGAGGGAGGTGAGGAGCAAAGAGGCTGAACAAGGAAGAAAAGAAGCAAGGAAGAAAAAGATCTACTACTGCAAATGGCATTTGCAGGATTAGGAAGTGGGAGAGAATGATGATCCTTAAAATCTGTTATTTTATGGGGCCTATGTGGGATAGAAGTGGGACACTCTGTGGGAAGAAACTGGGAGAATATGAGAGAGAAGGAGCCTTAGCCAAGCCCTTTGAAGTCTATGAAAATTGTCCATGGACTAAAATGAACTTTAGATCTGCTCCTAGGAGGTCAAGCCTCCCAAATTCAAGTAAGCTCTGCCCCAATCCTTAGCCTCGTTGTCTGATAATCAGAGTTTTTCCTGTGATCCCTTCTGCACTCTGCTTATGGGAGTCAGACTACAGTATTCATGCTGTTCCATGGGCACACAGCTTTCTTCATCCTCACATCCTATGTAAAGCAGCAGACTAAGTACTCAGACATTCTCTCGAATACCAAGTTGTCTGAATTTTATAAGCCAAACCAAAGGTGCATGTGCTCTCAAGGGAAAGATCTATTGGATCCTTTCAAATGATCTATGTCTACTTTCAGCTTCCATAATACTCTCTTCCTCTCACTGTTTCTCCATTTTACCTTTTCCCTCTCTCTGAAATGTTTCTCTCTAGCTTCCCTTCTTCTCTCCATACTTCTTTCTCTTCCCTCCATTTTCCCCCAGTTCTCTCTTCTCACACTTGCCTTTGTTTCTCTTTCATCCTCCCTCAGTTCTATTTATCACTCTCTCTGCATGGTAAACACTCAACTTCACCACAAACAGGTATACATTACTGTTTTTAACCATGTTAGTTAACAAACATTCATAAACATAACTATGAATGCAAACACTGACAAACTCTAAGGCTTTGTCTACATTGTGAGTTTTTGCCACAGAAAAATGAGGGACTCATTAGTATGAGTCACAACATCATTAGCATATTTTCTGCCATTTCTTTTCGTGCAAGGGGTTTTTGTACAAAAAGAAGCCGTGTACCTGCTTCCATTTTGCACAAAACCCCCGTTTTGCGTAAGATCCTTATCATCATCATCAACACCAACTCTTGTGTCCTGTGAACCCTAAAACCTCCAAAATTTAAGATCACATGGCAACATCCTCGATTGAAGCACTGGCACCTCATAGATTATGTCATCTTCTGCTCTCAGGATCAGCGTGATGTCCTCACACATACAATGATTAGCATTGATGACTGCTGGACCGATCACCACCTCATCCGGTCCACGATGGCAGTTAGGATTGTCACCAAATGGAGAACCCAGAAGAAAATGTTCCAATTAAAGATTAACATACAAGGCTTGAAGGACCTCACCAGACGAAGTCACTTCCAGATAGCACTCCAAAGGAAGCTGTTGACAGTACACCCTGAAGATGTGGAAGACGACTGGTGTCAGTTGAAAAATGTTATCATTGGAGCTTGTGGAGAAACCACTGGCTCCTAGTCCAGGAAACATCAGGACTGGTTTGGTGAGAATGATGTGGAAACTGAACTTCTGATTGAGACAAAAAAGAAAGCCTTCAGGGACTGGCAAAGTGACATCAACCGTGCAACAAAGAGAGAAGCACATGCCAAGGCCAAGACAGAAGTCCAACACAAATCAAGGACTCTGAAAAATCAATGGTGGACTGAGAAGGCACAAGAACTCCAGCATCTCACAGATATCAACAATATGAGAGGTTTCTTCAATGCCACTAGAGCTATTTATGGACTGAGAAACCATGGACTTAATCCCCGGAGATCAAAGTATGGTACCCAACTCTTAAAAGACAATGAAGACATTGCTTCTCTCTGGAGGGAGCACTTTTATGAGCTCCTGAACCGTCCCTTCACCATAGTCCCAGAATCCCTTGACTGAATCCCTTAGCAACAACCTGCTATACTTCCTACCCTGAATGAGGTCCAACCTGCCATCAAAGCAATCAAGAGCAACAAGGCAACTGAACTAGACAGAATCCTCACTGAAGTCTTCAAAGAAGGTGGGCCAGTACTTCACAAACAACTCCATCTCCTGATTCTCAAGATCTGGAATAAGGAGCAGATACTTCAAGAATTCAGACACACACTGATTGTCAGTCTCTTCAAGAAGGATGACAAATCAGATTGTGGAAACTATTGTGGCATCTCCCTCCTTGCAACAACAGTGAAAACCTTAGGTTGAATCCTTGCAAATCAACTTCTGCCACTTTCAGAAAAAATTCTTCCAGAATTCCAGTGCGGCTTCTGATCATTCTGAGAAACATTGGACATGATCTTCTCCACTCAGCAACTGCAAGACAAATGTCGCAAACAAAATCAAGCCTTATCCATGAATTTTATCGACCTGACCAAGGCATTCAACTCAATCAATCATAGCACCATGTGGATTATCCTCTCAAAGATTGATTGCCCCCAAAAAATTCATGAGCATCATGAGGCTGCTTCATGACAACATGACTGCCACAGTGCTCAACAATGTCTCCCAAAGTGACCCCTTTGAGGTCAAAACAGAAGTCAAACAAGGCTGCATCATGCCCAGCACTGTTCTGCATCTTCATCACCATGACCCTTCATCTCATTGATGGCAAGCTTCCAGATAGTGTGAAGATTGTTTACAGAATAAATGGGAAGCTTATATGTTTCAGGAAACAGAAGGCCAAAAACAAGACCACCATGAGTTCGATCATGGAGCTCCAGTATGCTCTTTTCCCCATAGCTCTTCAGACCATCATAAGTGCCTTCACTGAAGTGTACAAGAATCTCAGCCTCACCTTGAACATAAAAAAGACCAAGGTGCTCCATCATCTCTCGCTGACGGGACAATCTCATGTACCATCTATTGAAGTCAACAGGGAACTGCTGGAAAACTTGGAGCATTTCCCATACCTTGGAAGTCAACTCTGCACCAAAATTGACATTGACACAGAAATCCAACATTGCCTGAGCTGCACAAGCTCTGCTTTTGCCCACCTGAGATGAAGGATCTTTGAGATCCAGGACATCATTGCCAAGACTAAGCTCCTTGTGAACCATGCAGTGGCTGTTCCAACACTATTATATGCATCTGAAACCTGGACAACATATAAGTGTCACCTAAAGACACATGAAAAATGTCATCAACACTGCCTCAGGAGAATCCTAAATATCCCTTGGGAGGACAGGCATATGAACACTAGCATCCTGGAAGAGTCAAACATGACCAGCATTGAAGCTTTCATCATTTACCAACAACTTTGCTGGACTGGATCAGGTGGTTCAGATGCCTGATCAGCACATCCCAAAACAGATTCTGTTTTCCAAGCTGATGGAAAGATGGAGGAGTGTTGGGGTCAGAGGAAGCAATTTAAGGACATGGTAAAGGCAAACATGAAAAATGTGCATCATTGGTGTCAATGCTTGGGACAACCTTGCCCAGGACTATCCCCAGTGGAGAGCAATAATCCATGATAGGGTGGTGCAATTTGAGAGGTCCTGCTGCAGCTCAGATGAGGAGAGGCAGAAAAGAAGAAAAGAGTGGCAAAAACTACCCTGTGCCTCTCCAATAGCCACCAGCACCTGTTCCTTCTGTGATAATACCTGTAGCTCCAGAATCAGGCTGGTCAGCCATCAACAGATCCACAAATAGGAGGGTGACAGGAAGACGTCCTACTCGTTATCGAGTGACTGCCAAGAAAACCTCCAACCTGAGGTTTTCTTTTCTTACTCTCCTACCTTCTCTTCTGTGTCTGTAAGATTATCCAGTGAATTCCCTAGAACTTTCACTGGGTCTTTGAACCTCTCAAATTTGGACACATTTCCAAAATACAAAGCTACAAGACAGAAAGCATGTGATGATGCTCCATTTTGGCAGAAGCAGGTAACTGTCACATGTGCATTCACCTGTGCTAAAGTCTATTAATTTACTGTTCAACACTTTTCTGTGAGATACTTTTACAACAGACAGCCTCAGACGATACCATGTGACTTGAGTTGGAGCTACTCTACCTTTGAAATATGCAGAAGAGAAAGGCATTTAAGGAGCCACTTAAGCACTGATAAACTTAAGATTTAAAGATTCACCAGATAGGACTTCTTAAAGCTACTTTTCAATATTACAATCAGTAAATTAGCCAACAGTCAGTCACAAGTAAAAGATAATATCCCAAATCTCTGCCACATACAGAAAGTCTGTTGGCTTTAGTACAAGTCATAAGTGCAGATTACACGAAAGTACAGTCATATCTTATACATTAACAATGGTATATTTTTCTGCCACTGTGTAATCAAGACATTTGCAACGAGGTAGGCAGATCATATCAGAATTCTACAGCCTAAACCTTCATCAACACTTAGAAAGTGGACTCCTATTAGTATTTGTTTAGCTAGATTTCACTGTCTAGGATTATTGGTTCTTATCTAAAACAACATCATAACTTATATTAAGGCAGTCTGTTTTAAAAAAATTCACAGTAAATGACTAGATTTTTAAATTAATTTTAAACAGAAACATTTCACCATATTTTCTGTAGGCTTGGAAGCTTATGTTAAGTTTCCAAATAAGTGAATTCTATAAAGATAACATCTTTAAAAAATGTGTTGCAAGCTAGTACTGTGCACAACAAATTACAGTCTTAAAACTTTAAATTAAGTCCTTTATTGGTTAAAATATACAGAAATTTAGATATTTTAATTGTAAGATTTTCAAAGGCCCTGTGGGCCAGATTTTCATTTATTCAGTTCCCACCATCAGGGCCAACATTTCAAAAGCCTTCTATTTAGGCATTCATAAGGGCAATATTTGCAAAAATACCCAGCTGTTTTCACTGTGATGCTTATGACTGAATTTTAAAAGGAGTTCAGCACCAAAATGCTGAATTATTTTCAAAATGTGGCCCTTAGTTTAGTACCGCAGGAAGCTGAACTCTCCTGAAAATCTAGTCCCAGTTGTGGGTGCAGAGCTATTTTGAAAATCTGGCCTGTAAATACTAGCACTCTAATAATATCAGGTTTATTGAGCTTAAATCAGTAGTTTTGGGGGTGGAGGGAGGAGCTCACTTTATACTTCCATTTAATATGAACCTGTTATGTTATTTTGGTTCACATACAATCTCATTTTTATATATACCTTGTTACATATCTGACAGACACTGTATGCCCAGAGGGCCCTGAATCATCTTAGTCCACAAAGAAAAACCCAGTTTCAGACAAAAAATGAATGGAAATTATATTGAGGGACCATTGTATTGAGGGATCAGCGGAGAGTCATATTCTCTGAACTGTTAGCCTGTTCATTGCTGATAGAGGTAAACAGCAGTAAGACTATTAACAATAAGACCTCAGGCAGTCATAAAAACCAGCCTAAGGTGATTTGAGATGTCATCTTATACTTTCAACCCATTATAAAGAATCAATAAAAGCCAAAGTCGGCATGTGAATGCATATCATATTTAAACTTAATTAAAGGTTATCTTTGTACAGTTCTCTAGTACTCTTCAGTGAGGATAATTTCATCTTCCAGTCATGATCTTTCTGTACACATTCAATTGTACATAACAGGCCAAGTGTTGAGCTGACTTCCTAAATTCACCATAAGGGACAATAAGGGCTTTCTGTTAGGTGTCTATTCAAATTTTACAACAGAGTAAATTTAATTCTTTGCCCACACCCATCCTGCCAAAGATGGCATTATACCTGTGCTTTGCTGAGAAGACAAAATGCATCTGATCTACTTAAAAAATAGAAATAGTTTCTTCTTGACCCAACATTTATAATATTTTCTACTGAGTAGATTTTACTTCAATAAAGTGGTCTGTGTAAACATTAAAGAACTGTCAAAACCTGCATGAGTTGTTTAAACACCATGAATAAGAACCAGAAACGATGAAGATGTGCTGCCTTCACATTTGGCCATGTGCCACTGCTCTAAAGAGGAGTCCATCTAGAACATGCAGTGCATTACCCTGTTGAGCAAGCTTTCTTTTTTTCCCCTAAAGTAAAACATTTTTGACAAGCAGCTCATCTATAGCCATTTCACACAGATTTTCTTTCATTTGCATTCTCATTAGAATAATGTGATTTTGCAAAGTAGAATGTGGAAGTACTCACCACATAGTGAAAACACTGAACCCCACATCGAGGTGATAATCCAAACCAAGTTGACAGCAGATAGAATGCAAGATTCGTGATTGGCAATTTAAACAACACTAAGTGAAATATGAGCAGCAACATCACATCACAAATCATTGAAACAAAGGGACTGAACCTTTTTCAGGTTAACTTAATATGGGCTGGACAAAACAAGAATGGACACTTTATGGGAAAGGAAATATAAATGGAACATGTCTAAATGCTTTAACCATTGTGGGCATTTTATAGGAGAAAAATAGTGCTCCAACTATGATTTTATTGAAGCAAGCATACATTTTGGCTCATTCAGTGGTTTTCTTTTTATTGTCAGGATTGCTCCAGGTTTAAAAGTGCATGATGCCAACTTTTAAATATGCTGTAATGGAGTCAATTTTCTAAGCAATTCCAGAGAGCCCTACACACACACACACACACACACACACACATACAAGCATCATTATTTGTTAATGTGCTTTGTGTGCATGTTTTTTTATTTATTTACTGTACATCATCTTGTAAACATTTCTAAGTCATTGAAGAACATAGAAAAACACGCAAACAATATAATCTCTGTAAAATTAGCAGTTCATATGAGCAAAATAACAGCCTTACTTAGAATTTCAAAGCAATAATTTTATTGCATTTGAAAAAAGTTATTGTGCAACATTCATGATGGGAAAAGGAATATATTTCTGAGTAAAATTTACAAAGGATCATTGGAATAAGAGACTTAAGAAAATAATTATTTAAAATGGGCATGATTTTTCTGTTTTTAAAAAAATGACGTACTTATGTAAGTGTGTTTTCCATACCTTCATACCTGTTTACACAAAGAAAACCTAGCTTTAATTAATGAAAATGTGCAGGTGCAGGATTGTGCACAAAATAAGCTCAGTGCTTTTGGATGAGTTTGCTTCCTTTGCTGGGTCACACTTGGAGCCTGTTATAAATCATAGATGTTTTTGACCTGGATTATACATATTCTTGTATAAATACTGATCAAATATAAATAAATATATTTCTAAAATACAAATTAGAAAGATATTAAGCAATGTCCATAATATTTACAATCAATGACTAGGCTTTATAAACCAGGATCCTAAATCATGCTTAAATGCCTGATTGTTTTTAAGATTCCAGGAACACACTGCACTTCGTAAACATAAAAATGACATTTCAATTGTT